TCGCGGTACGAAATACTTCAGGCGCAAGTTGAACTTGGCCGAATTTATTTTTCGATACGACTACTACATTGTTAGGAATGTTAAAATTAATAGCAATTAAATGTATTATCAAAATTATTACAGGATACATCCTCTTATTCACGAAGTGTGATAAATTTGTTTGTTTTCTTAACACTCTTTATGAAAAAAATGGATTTAAATTGATTGATTAGCTTACTTTACGTCGAATATTAATTATCGTGAACTTTTCACGTATCATGGGGATTTGTTTAAATTAACACCACAAGAAATGTTTGCAGATTATGTAGATATACGAGAATTCAGGTAAATGTAATTATCATAGAAAATAGTTGTTTAGCAACCATTTCGACCCTAAAGTCCAATGTAACTTATGCTGAGTTCACATTATGCATTCTGNTACAAAAGTTTAAAAGTAATCGGCCGCCCTTTTCTATAACCCAATGTAATGTTAAGGTCAGTGTTTTGGAGAGAAATTCGCGGTACGAAATACTTCAGGCGCAAGTTGAACTTGGCCGAATTTATTTTTCGATACGACTACTAAATTGTTAGGAATGTTAAAATTAATCGCAATTAAATGTATTATCAAAATTATTACAGGATACATCCTCTTATTCACGAAGTGTGATAAATTTGTTTGTTTTCTTAACACTCTTTATGAAAAAAATGGATTTAAATTGATTGATTAGCTTACTTTACGTCGAATATTAATTATCGTGAACTTTTCACGTATCATGGGGATTTGTTTAAATTAACACCACAAGAAATGTTTGCAGATTATGTAGATATACGAGAATTCAGGTAAATGTAATTATCATAGAAAATAGTTGTTTAATGTAACTTATGCGAGAGTTCACATTATGCATTGTGGGTCATTAAAATAATGTGAAATAATAATTCATGTAGATTATTTATTTGAATTCCATTAAGCAATCACGTTATACGATAAATACAAAAAACTAAATGCTTAAGACTGCACAGCATCTATTTAATATTCGGCTCGAAGGACCAAAGCAAGCTAATACTACTAAGACTATGCGGAAGATTCATAAGATAATTTGGATTTGTTTACATGTCCTTGCATCGTAAATGCTACACTTTTATCATTGTTCTTATTCAGTAAATGCCGTGTATCGTTAATCTGGCCTTTTAAGCGTCTTTCGGATTTTTGGCAATCAATTTTAAAAGTTTCAAGTACATGACCATGACCTGCGGTTTTCATTTAAAAACAACGTCGTTTTCGTAAATACAATTTAATCTAAGCAAACCAGTAGTACTTCCATATCCGCCAGCGCGTGAAAAATGGAAATAGAAAATAGAAAGCGTGGGTTAACAGGACGTACCGTGGTTGAATGTGTGTGAACTTGGCGAATAAAAAGTCTTAATATCAGAATTCCATATCGCATACCTATAATAACTTTTCATATTGTAAACTATTTTTAATATTGTAATGATTTCGTTAAATTTTGAACTATCGTAACATTGACTAATTAATGACTCCCGGAAAGCAAAACAAAAATTAAAACAATTCAGAAAGTGCAAAAGCTTAAAATAGTATATAAACATAAACACATGATAAAGATACAAATAACGCAAAAAATGCGTCAGTTTGACAATAACGGTAGTTGTAAACATCTTTTTTTTTGTCAGATAAGCGACAGTGGATGACTAAAATCAATTAACCAAGTAAATAGCGAAGTGGGCGAGGTTTTGCTCAAATTGATATTATGTACATGCCATTATAGAAACTGACGTTTGACAATATTGTATGACGTTTTGTTATGATCCTGTAGCCAGCGATGCCTATCAACAAGAGATTAACTACATATTGTTTATAAAAGTTTCAAAAGCGACTACCTTACGTTCAGTCAGATTGCCAATTACTTATTATTGCATTTGACATTGAGGTAGCCGATGGTGACACTCACCGCAGTTACAAGTGCTGTCTAATTAGGAATTAAAAGTGATTATAGATATAACTATTAATTTTTGAAATTTGATTCACTTTTGTTTCGTTTTTGGATGACAAATGAGTAAATGGTAAATAAATGTCCGAGTCTATTGTTACTACTTGTCGGAAATCATGTTAATGAAAGACAGGAGATTCAATTGTTTTACAATTAGTGTGGAAAACTATTCACTTGAAAATAACAATATATGTACCTAGGTAAGTATATAAAGGCTTCAACAAAATCTGTCGAGAATTATCATATTCAGGTTTCACGGCTTTTTTAAGAATATTATACTTTTGAAATAACGTTCGTATTGTTGGTTGTTTGTCAAAGAACAAGTTTGTTTAAAAATGAGAATGACCCCGTTTTATTCATGATTTCACTTGTTGAAAATTCCGACATTATAAATATGATGCGGTTTATAATACACAGGTATCCGTTGTGAATGTAAATTTTATTATATGAGATTAGCGGATCAGTTTTAAAAACTTACAAGTTTTATTGGACTAACTAAAGCAAACTAATGTTAATGGTGAAGGTCGTCAGTCCTAAGACTGGTTGAACACGTACCTCTACTCGTTCCTCATCTGAGCTAAACGTCGCATTTCCCTAAAACTAGAAAACTTAACTTAACTTAACTTTTGGGTGTTTCATTCCCACCAGCCAGTAATGCTGGTGGGCGGGCAGTCCCTCCGGACTATGCCGGAAGGTAGGGCGGAAGGCCCTCTTCAGCCTGCTTTCAGGAATCGTGGGNGTGTGAACTTGGCGAATAAAAAGTCTTAATATCAGAATTCCATATCGCATACCTATAATAACTTTTCATATTGTAAACTATTTTTAATATTGTAATGATTTCGTTAAATTTTGAACTATCGTAACATTGACTAATTAATGACTCCCGGAAAGCAAAACAAAAATTAAAACAATTCAGAAAGTGCAAAAGCTTAAAATAGTATATAAACATAAACACATGATAAAGATACAAATAACGCAAAAAATGCGTCAGTTTGACAATAACGGTAGTTGTAAACATCTTTTTTTTTGTCAGATAAGCGACAGTGGATGACTAAAATCAATTAACCAAGTAAATAGCGAAGTGGGCGAGGTTTTGCTCAAATTGATATTATGTACATGCCATTATAGAAACTGACGTTTGACAATATTGTATGACGTTTTGTTATGATCCTGTAGCCAGCGATGCCTATCAACAAGAGATTAACTACATATTGTTTATAAAAGTTTCAAAAGCGACTACCTTACGTTCAGTCAGATTGCCAATTACTTATTATTGCATTTGACATTGAGGTAGCCGATGGTGACACTCACCGCAGTTACAAGTGCTGTCTAATTAGGAATTAAAAGTGATTATAGATATAACTATTAATTTTTGAAATTTGATTCACTTTTGTTTCGTTTTTGGATGACAAATGAGTAAATGGTAAATAAATGTCCGAGTCTATTGTTACTACTTGTCGGAAATCATGTTAATGAAAGACAGGAGATTCAATTGTTTTACAATTAGTGTGGAAAACTATTCACTTGAAAATAACAATATATGTACCTAGGTAAGTATATAAAGGCTTCAACAAAATCTGTCGAGAATTATCATATTCAGGTTTCACGGCTTTTTTAAGAATATTATACTTTTGAAATAACGTTCGTATTGTTGGTTGTTTGTCAAAGAACAAGTTTGTTTAAAAATGAGAATGACCCCGTTTTATTCATGATTTCACTTGTTGAAAATTCCGACATTATAAATATGATGCGGTTTATAATACACAGGTATCCGTTGTGAATGTAAATTTTATTATATGAGATTAGCGGATCAGTTTTAAAAACTTACAAGTTTTATTGGACTAACTAAAGCAAACTAATGTTAATGGTGAAGGTCGTCAGTCCTAAGACTGGTTGAACACGTACCTCTACTCGTTCCTCATCTGAGCTAAACGTCGCATTTCCCTAAAACTAGAAAACTTAACTTAACTTAACTTTTGGGTGTTTCATTCCCACCAGCCAGTAATGCTGGTGGGCGGGCAGTCCCTCCGGACTATGCCGGAAGGTAGGGCGGAAGGCCCTCTTCAGCCTGCTTTCAGGAATCGTGGGAATGGCTGGGTGGTGGTTCGGGTGAGAAAGATGAGACGGACGAAATGAAGACAGAAGAGAAAGAGATATTATCTGTGGAATATTGCTGCCTCAGCTTTTGCCTAAGTGATCCAAGGAAACCACAGAAAAACTTGGACCAAGGCAGACGGACCTGGAATCGAACCGGCGTCCTCTCGAATGCTAAGCTATGGTCTAGACCTCTAGGCCATGCCGCTCGGTCTAAAACTAGAACAACCCTCATCCTTAACTATTTGCGAACAGTAATCTAACCTAAGGTGGTAAGAAGGTGTCCTACCAACGTATCTCGCCTATTTCTTATTGACTTCCATAGAATCTGTTCTCCTCTTCTTTCTAATACCTGTTCATTTATAACCTTTTCTACCCACGTTATCCTCATCATTCGCCTATAACAATGCAGCACAGGAACACTAATTTTTTCTAAAACTGCCATGGGTTTTATGTAGGTATTTCATATTTTATTCTGGTTAGGTATTAAAATAAATTCTTCAATTTTAAAGAGTATAAGTCTATAATATTGTCAGCATTCAAGGGCCAACAGGTTTCTGTTCATTTCTTCATTCATTCAAAATTAAATTCACAATTTAGAAACGAACGCGAAACATTGGCATGTTCACAATTGATTTATTCATAAGCTTTTATGAGTTGAAAAAACAATAGGTAAATGAAATGTGCCACATAACACAATTTTTTCAGTTCTTAGAAGTACACATGTAGGTATTTATGATAACTACAAATATATGGAAAGCTCTTTGAAAAATCAGCACCTGTCACAGTTAATTTGAATATTTAAAAATGAACTATTACGTTTAAAAAATGGCATAGAATTTTAATAACATAGGCGCCATAAATCAATTTTTAAATTCAATAGCAGGTATTAACAAAACATAAACGATTAAACCTGCTCACCTTTATGTAGTATTGTGCTGAAAACCACACACGTTAACACTGAAATTTTAAATCAACGGGTAATAACACCATTGATAGCGTTATATAAATTTATCTACGTATGACAGTTTTATGATATAAGTAAGTATAAATAAATATTGTGCCAATGTTGCAGAATATTTCAAAAATTAGTCTCGTCCGAAGATGATTCGCTATCGCGATAGACTAACGCTGTTTTACAAAAATTTACGGGCATATATTCGCAATAGCCAATGGTCACCACACATAAAATGGCACGTAACCGAATTACGGAGACGTCATACTTGCACACGTCAGAAAATTTACAGAGTAGTTATTTATCGATGAGAGAAGGAGACGTGCCCACATTTCAAAGTTTAGCAACTCGAAAATAGTCCCGGTCCTGTTTTAAAATCGATAACAGCCAACCAACGAGCGAATGATGACCGCTAATTTTACTTAAAGTAAATATATGCAAAACAATATTTTTTATGTTGCAAACCGATTGAAAACTTGTTGTTTTCTATTCCCTTTTCTCGGAAAATGTGTGATGCTTGCGGATTAGCATACTACTACGATCGGCGCACTGCTGTAAAAGCATTCCGTTTTTCTGACTGACAGACTACAACTCTTGCAACCGCGGCCAAATTAACCGATTATAGTTGGCCGGCGAACGGCCACGGGCCAGAAATAATTTGTGAAAACGGAAACAGAGGAGATGTAACCAGCGTGGTATTGCAACCACTTGTAGACTAGCCTAGTAAAGCATTCAAGGTAATAAAATATTTACCGAAATTTTTCCAAAATTGTGCAACTTTTGGAACGTTGTCGGTAACGTTTTAAGAAAAATGGATAACATGATAAAACACTGCTATCTAAAGGTCTACAAATAGGTTTAAAAATCTGAAATGCATTTCGTTACCCAAGGTGTTATCCACAGCGGGAATTGTCCATAAAATACTCACGTATCGAAAAAACGGACAAGATATGGGCTATTGTCTTGTAACGTAGGTGACATAATGGAGGAAAGGAGGGGAGGGGTTAATCCAGAATGATATATTTTATGGGATCCCCCTTTAAAGAATAAAACTCAAAGTATTATAGGTAATTGAATAATTCACCAATATTAAGCCTGAACTACCGAAACTAAACATAAAAATTGGATTTATTTCTGAAGTATTTAAAAGAATTTTTTGAAATTCTCTCTACGTGGTGTCGTAGCTAATATGGAAAAACGCGCCTTTTACACACTCTGAAACGTAGCATATGAAGTCATCTCAACAAATTACACGAATTTTCCATTTAAACTGATACCAAAATTCATACTCCAAAGCGGTGGAAATTTGTACGGAAATTGTTAAATAATTCAAGTTTTTCAAAATTTTCTATGATCGTCTTATTCGGAATTTTTCAATGTCAATTCAAGGAAATACCTCAACTTCTGTAATTCACTGAGTAAGTCCTAATATGTATACATACGTATATGTTATTATAACTTACTAATATTAATATGAAAAGAATTTCGAGCTATTTAAAACTTTTNACGTATGTATAAAAACAAGTTGATGTCCTTACAGGACCTTTGACCTTGGAATACTTTTTCATTTTTCCTGTTTATGTATATTAACCACTACACTTCACTTCCTAAACACAAAAAAAAAACGATGCGTAATATATTTTTGTATGTTAAGTATCACAAAATAACATGAGCAGTAGCAAATCGGTCAGCTGTTAAGTAATGAATGAACCGTTTTATAATAATAGTTACGTTTTAATGACATAAAAAACGCCTACAAAATGGCATTGTTATTTTATCACATATTATAAAAGGGGGTACCTAAATCTAATTTGTTTAATCGTAACGAAAAAAAAGAAAAGTTTAAATTACGAAAATAGTTGTAGTTCATACCATCCAGATATATGTACAATGGGGTGTATCGGTATAGTGAATACATACATATACATATAATTAGTATCTACTTAAAAAACAGTATTCGGAATATATTGTTACTAATTGATTTACAAAACCAATGTAGGTACGCAAGTAAATATTATGAAATTTGTTTATGACTGACCTTATCGTTAGTAGTTCACGATGAGTGTGTCATCCTACGATTCTCACGACGCAATTTTGAAATGCGTAATATCATGCTCTTTACAGACTATTAAAACAGTACTAATTTTTATAATTATAATAATACATATGAACGTGTGCAA